ATATTTTACAAGCACTCAAGTACCTAATAAGTGATGTGTTTTAAACATTTCCGTTCTCTACCTCCTACCCTTCCACCTCAGGGCAAGTCAGTAAAGTTCTCCATCTTCAAGACAGAAATTGCTGATAATCTTTTCTTTAACACTTTGGATAAGGTCTGTTTTTAAGCTAGATAATAGGTATTTGAAAGCTCAGTGCCTTCAAAGGCAGTGTCTGTGCAAATGCTCTCTGGAAAGCCTTGTAGGTTCCCTTAAACCTCTGCACATCTGCAGATTTTGCTTCCAGCAGTTGGGCAGGAGTCCTGGATGCCAGTCCTGACTGTGACATGACCAGAAAGAGAAGTTTCTGTTGACCAACACAAACAGTAATTGATACAAAGAATGGGCTCATTCAGATTCCTGTTTCAGGACCAAATTTGTCTGCTAGGTGTGATATGGGTTATCTTTGCTCCCCTCTTCTGTTAAGGCTCTGCTGCAACATGTCAGTTATGCAGCTCATATTGGGACCAGCAGAAGTAACAGAGTTGAGAGTAAGCAGACACAACAGCCCTCATCTGAAGGACGCTGTCTCAGAGGCAGGTATTCACTGAATGGGTTTGAAGAGGGTTGTTAAGGGTGTCTTTCAATAAACTTGGATCATTTGGGAATTTTAGGAAACCAAAAAAACCTCTGAAGTGTGTTAGAGAACTAACACAAAAAATGAAATGTCTCCTAGTTAGCATTATACCTGACATTCTCACATCCTCATTTAACTTATCTCCAAAATCCCAGCACTTAAAATGCAATTTTGAAGATTCCTAATGCAGTGGCAGTCAATGCCCAACTGCTGTTATTGCAGCTTTTGAGGGGCAGATTGGATACCCTAACATAGAAAAAGAGAAAGTTTCTGAGACAGATGTAAACGACTGAAGTCTTAACTCTGCTTTAGATGCTCCTTGTTTATCTCAACATTTTGTAGTGAGGGTGTTTTTGGAAAGGCGCTAATTATTGTATGGGATTAGAGGCAACTTGTAAAGGTTTGAGGCTGCGTATAGGTCAAGATTTGCGTGATTTTTTTCCCCCACCACTGTGCTGCTTGTTCCTTGCCATGTGTTCAGTTCCTTCTGCGTTCACAGGTGGCTACCATTCTGACTAGTCTGGCATGTACAGAACCATTAGTAAAAGTAAATATAACAGAATTTATCAAAACTATTTAATGGAGATAATTAGGTGCTAAATTCTTGTTAGAGGTCTCAAGCTGTTTAGCAAAGGTCAACCCTGCAGAATGAGCTTGCACTGACTGACAGCTCTGGCTTTACCTCAACTCAGTAGTGAAAGCAGGGCACACCCGATGAGGGAGGAAAACACATGGCAGGAGATGAGTGTAATGTGTTACCAGCCCTCTTGGCCATCCAGCTGGTAAGTTATATGTGCACAACATCACTAGATAAAAAAATGGAACTGCTTTCAGCTGATGAGCTATCTCGTATCAGGGATATTTCTGCCCCTGATTCCTGACAATGCTTTGCACTTCAGGAGCTGTGAAAGTTACAATTGCTAAATTTAGCAATGTGTTAATCTTATCATAACATCCAGCTCCCAGAATAACAATTATTTGCAAGACCAGGTAATTGTAGTGTTCTAGCTCTAAATGACAATCAGGTCCTCATTACTCAAGCTATGTTACACTGTGGGAAGCTTTTAATGTCCATAAGAGGATTTTGTTGGCATTAAGGTAAATGTTATTTGTGTTAATGCTCAAAAGAGAAATTTTGAATGCCTAACACCTCTGCCATAGTCAACAGGTCAGTTTTTGCCATCTAAATCAATTAACGACATGATATGGTATCAAAAGCAAAAATATCCACATCTTTATGGTCCAATCACCTACTTAATTAAGATAGCAGAGAACCAGTTTGCACAGCAAATGCACTGTTATGCATAATTTAGTTTAGTCTTGCACTCTCCCCCCGGTCCATATGCGCCTTGATTTGCTTTGTGTAACTTGCCTATATTCAACCCTTTATTCCTAATATAGTGAAAAAATGTTCAAGTATGCTACCACAAACACAAGAACTCATCTTTAAGGTGGCAGTAAAACAGAGATACATCTAACTGGAAAAGAATATGCAGCTTTCTAAATCTAGGTCAAAATCAGTAATTTGTAAAGTTTCTCCTGTGATGTTTTGGTTTTAGAAGAAATTTCTTTGTTAAGGGAAGAGAGAACTATAGGAAGGTAACATAAAGTCCTTAAGCATCCTACAGCAGGAGGGGATGGCTGGTACATGAGCTATTTCCAGGACACCCACTCAGGGCTGACATCAGTGCACAAAACCCGTATCCCTGACTGTGCTGGATGAATACAGTATTTTAAAAATGTCATTTCCTCTTTGTAGAAGTACAGTTGCAACTGAAAGGCAGTTACATATTGTTGAAACCAAGAGGACAAAGCCAAGAGGTTTTCTCACAGCTCAGGCTTAAGTGCTCATTAGTTCAGCTTAGGGTGATCTGTTTCTTTGCTCAGGGAGTAAAAGACATCCCAGACAACACCTTTACACACCAATTGAGCATAAGCAAGTAGCTGTGTCTGAGTGTGCTAGATAAAGCTGCAGCTGTAAGTTACACACTTAAGGCTTGTGCTGCAGCATTACTGTTACCTTTAGCTTATGTCCACCTGCAAGTATATTGTCAGGTGATGTGTTTCTGGACTGAAATGTAGCCGTAATCTTATGTATTAACTCCAGGTTGCTGGACTTCATCAGAAGCCTATAATGTGTTGGAATCAGAGCTTGAAAAAAAAAAAAAACCTGGAGACAAGAAAAGCACAAGCATTTCAATTTTTGAAGAAAGATTCCTCCCCTTGAATCTGGATTCAAAGCCTAGAGACTAGCCCTTATACTGCTAGAACGTAAGGCAAAAACCTGGAATAGCTGCTGTTGGCCTCTGTCTCTATCTCTGCGTGGGTGCTTAATGGCAGATGATACTAGTAATGTTGTGTGGACCAAAAATTTCCAAAAAAGATTTGGCACTGATGTGACCCTTTCTATTCAACAACAGAAACAGTAAATAAATAAGAGAATAAGGAAAGAGAATACAAAAACAAGCGAACAAAAGCACCCCAGAAGTTCAGCTGCTCAGTGAAGAAAATTCTGCTGAGCTGTGGGGTTTGTCAGGGTGAGCCTAAAGGAGGGGGGTTTGTTTGTTTATTTTTTAAATACAATTGCACTAAAACAACCTGGACTGCTGCTGATTTTTGGCCACAGCACTCACAGTTTCCATTTACCGCAGTGTGCAGTTGACCCTGGGAAAAAAAATAACTCCTGGCTAGGTAGACTTGTGCTACAAGTCTGAGACAGCCACTTCTGAGACATATTCAATGCTGATTCATCCCCAGACATCACTGGAAGGCAGAGTCATTAATTAAAGGTGCACAGAGCATTCTGTGGGGCTGGGAGAGATGTCACTAAGGAAACGAGTTTCTTATTGTATGAATTTATAAATACCTTTGGATTTCTTGCCAGAGCACATCAGAATATTAACAAGGAGATGCTGTTTCCCTTAAAACATCAGGGAATGAGCTGAGCAACAGGCTGAGTAGGTGGGGGGGGGTGGTTAACTGGAATTTGGCTGCGGATACCTGTAAAACAAGTAACGAGGATTCTTCTAGCAGAACTGGAAATTCAGGAGATCTGATTCAGCCAATAAGGGCAACACCTATCAGCAAGACTTGACGCCTGCCACAAAAGGGCATTTTTTGAGCAGAGATACCCAGAATAATTATTTTTAATTCCTGTGGGTTCATGTTCTCAGTCTGATATCTCTGGCCTTATTCTCTGCACATTGTATTATCTTCTGGAATTTCTAAATGCTGTCTATTGAACACAGGGAATCTTGCTATTGGATTTACTGTGCTAGGATCCTATCTGGCATACCCCAACACCTTCCTTTTGTTCCTCAGGAATTCTTTTGGGGGAGACTAGTAATAAAATAAACTTCACACTTCAGATTTTGTAAAGACCACCTTTATTATAAATAGAGCTACATAGGAAAATCTATAAAAATTTAACAGTGTCCTGCTATAACAGCAGCGGTTTGATTACAGCATTGTGTATCTGTGTAGCTTTCAAATGTATAATTTTCTGTTCTTTCTAGAATCAAGGAAGGAAGAACTTGGTTTGGAGGATTTTGATGTTATTTCCCATCTCAAATGTGTTATTAGGACAGCTCCTCACACTACAGTCTACAGTTTCTGAGCTAATGTTACTCAAAAAAAAAAAAAAAAAAGATGAGTAATAAATACGACTATTTACCATGTAGAATCCTATGAGAAGAACTAACCCCTCAGTGATCAGCAGCCAAGCTGTTAAAGGTGGGTAAATTCTCATTTCCTCACACCAGAGAAAGCTGCAAAGACTGCATTAAAAATTATCTGGTGAATGATGAGCAAGTCCTGCTGCTTGAATGTTGGACAAGGTTTTGGATTACTTTACTAAAATATATCTTTATATCCAGCATACCTACTATATGCAGAGCAGCCTGGAGAAAGATGCCATATCCTGCTGTTGGCATGTACTAAAGAGTGAATTCCCCACCACTTGTCTTAGATGACATTCAGCTCCTGCATAGTAATGATAACCCTAAACCAAGACATTTGCTAAAGGTGAATGGCTCCGCAGGCTGCACTGAAGATCAGTGGCTGCTACCCATCCACCACTAATTCCACTGCTGACAAAGAACCTCTAATAAAATATTAAAATCACAGTTGAGGGTATAGAGAGTATCTTAAGGAGGCTATAGGAGTTAATTTGATTAACAAATAGTAAGAAGGCAGAAAGGGGTCCAGGTAAGGCAGATGACCCTTCTTTATGATCTGTCACGGTAACCAGGATGTTAAAGATACAACAGAGAAATGCTGTGTACCCACACCTTCCCAGATGGTACAAGTATATGCCTCTGGGACTACAACTTAAAAATCCCAAAGCTTAATGGAGCATTATTAGCACAAAGCACTTATCTGTGCTAACGAGTACGTTCCATTACAGCCTGAATGCACAGAACAAATCTCTTAAAAGATGCTCAGGGTAAAGTAAGTATCTTGCATCTAAGCAACCTGAGCCAAACAATTTGTTTTCTGGGGAGACAAATCCATAAATTCCTTAGGTCAGCTCCTGTTTGGGTTCAACAAAACACCATGGGAACGTGGTGCCAGCTTGGGTTTCAGGATCAGTTTGCATTTAAGAGAAAACATGCATGCAAATGTAGAAAATGAAAAACAAAAGATTCAATCCATTTTTCAGTTTAGGTTGCCTTTGAATCTTAGCAGCAGTGGTTGGAGTTGCATAAAGTCAAGTTTAGGCATGTTTGCAAATCCCTTGGACTGGTGTTACACAGCTTTGTTCTGACATTTTAAGAGGAGAGTTGAATTATACTGTTAAATAGCCTTTTCTTCTCATCCTCCCCCTACTCTATCTTATATAAAAGTTATTTTTCAACCCTGAGTGTCATTTCCTGAGAGACCTGGGTCACAAATTTGTTTCTGTTCTTTGGACAGGCTAAATTTAGACTCCTGACAGGAAATGGCAGAGAATTTTTCATTTCTCCCTGGCGGTACTAGGAACACATTTAGAAGCAACTCAGACCACAACTGCTTCAGCATGACCTGAGCAGCCTGTGCAAAGCTGGAGCTGGTGCAGCCACTGCAGAGTAAAACCTGAGCAGGTAGGAATGGCAAATTGCTTCAGTTTGCAAACACTCTATTCAGCTTCCAACATAGCCTCCAGGCTCCTGTATTCACCCACTGTTCCTGCGCTTCTGCTTGTCACTACCTACTTGTTGTGTCCCTTGAAATTGCTCCTGCCCCGTCTCCTGATGAGGGAGGCCTGCCTGGCTGTGCTGATGAAAGCCAGGAGTTTCCTGGTTAGCGTTAGCAATTAGGCCTGTCCTGTTGTTCTGCCAGCTCCGGCAGTCTCCCAGGCAGACGTTGCCAAGGATGCTGAAGCAAGTACTGGTCTGGTGATCCAAGACTCTTCCTAGTGGGATAAGGCAGCAGCCTCATCTCTCATTTTGCTTCCCTACTCCTCAGTTTCTGCTCAGAAATATTATTTAACCACCCTGTAGCTATGATGATAAAAACCAAACGGGTCAGCAAGTTTAAGCAAAGAGTGCCCTGCTGCCACCAGTGCTTTTGTTATCAACCAGGTGTGGAAACAGGAGTTACAGCTTTCCCTGCTGCTGCTGTGCATAAAATGTCCCTTGCTGGTGGAGAGACACAAAAGCATCCTCAGTGAGGTGGTCAAATGGCCTGCATCAGGATTCAGAGAAGTCTAGTGCAGGAACACTGCAGGAAAGCCTAGTTTAAGAGCATTGTAGGCAAGGCCCCTTAGCATGGAGGCCGTGCACGGAGGCCCTCCAAAGGCAGCTCTGTGCAGACAAGCTAGTTTGACGCCCACACGAAGCGCACAGAGGAGAGGACACACTGAGCCCTCGCCTCCAACAAGGCCACCTAGCTGGGGCTCAGTACCCCCCAGCACCACAGTAACATGCTGCTTCCTGAGGGAACCTCATCTTTGCGCTGCTTTAACATAAACCCTGAGATTCTCCTGTCTTGAAAGCCCGCAGAAACTGTCACTCCCCTACCGTGCTCTGACCTCAACAAATTATGGTCCACTAGGTGTGGCTCCTGACAACGAACCTCACTGGAGCAGCAATGTTAAGAATGATGGAGAAAATCCTACATGGAGGCAGACAGCAGCTTTTGCCTGGGTACCTGGGAGTGGAAGGCATGACAGACAGACCACAAGGCAGCTGCAGAGATGGTGTTTCTAAGTTGTGCTATGCGTGTACCTCTTTCATCCCCTCCTCCCAAATTAGAGCCACCCTGCTTGCTTTGACCTTATTAAAATCATGCTGGGAGAGTCATGTGCTCATTCAGAGGGTGATTTTTTCCTCTTGCCAGCAAACTGCTGTGGTTGGGCTCCTTACAGGACAATTTTGGAAAGTTTCTTCTTCTGTTAAAGTAAAGCAAAACTCTATAGCTGTCATTTCTGTCTGTGCTGGTCACTGCCCAGGAATAAGGAAAGCAAACAAATAAACCAAAAAGCCAACCAGAGCGTTTCACTCTTTTACCTAAGGTAACTATGGAAAATACCAAGAACAGATCCCACTAGCCATAATACTGTGAAGGAAATGAAAGACTCAGATGAAATGGTCTGAAGAAACAGACTGCCTGCTCTGCTACATTCCTCCCATGGAGAAGAAATGTGCAGGGTGCAGGAAAGGGGTGTTTCAAAGGACAGGACAAGCTTTCAAGACTACTGCTGCAAGTCCCATCAAACAGTTATTTCTACAACTGCCTTTCCCTTGTGATTAAATAACTGTAGTTGATTTAAAGATCTCCAGTTGATATCTGCACGTGGGACCTTGGGCACTAGCACTGAGTTTCATGTCACACTTTGTCACAGAGAGTTGCAGAGATTCTGCTGTTTTAAAGCAGGCTCCTGCAATCCCCAAATCTTTTCTTTGACTCCTCCACCTTTTCTTATCTGCCCCTTCCAAAGAGAAGCTTTTGTCCACCACTACTGTTTGCATTGCAGGAATCTGAATAAATTACACATCCTGGTTGCTCATTACCACTGTGTCATGACTGAGACAAAATAGAAAAACATATTCTCAGCTGCATAAAACCCAGCCAGCACACCCGTGGAGCAGAGACTCATTTTTACATCACATCTCCAGTTTCTCCATATGCCCTTTCCCATACTGTAGGAACCACAGCCCTGGACAGCTTCAGCTGCAGACAAGCTCTATTGGCTAAGTCAGTTGCCTTCTAGGAGGCTTCGAAAGCTGCCCTATTGACTTGTAATTAGAGAAACAAGTGTTTTCCCCTTTCCCATACTGTAGGAAACACAGCCCTGGACAGCTTCAGCTCTATTGGCTAAGTCAGTTGCCGTCTAGGAGGCTTTGAAAGCTGCCCTATCGACTTGTAATTAGAGAAACAAGTGTTTTCCTGCTGGCTTTGGTTAAAGAGATTCTTTATGGATCCCATTTGTGTGCGCATGGGGAATGTGCACCGTGTATTCATTTATCAGTGCAGATGTGTTCCTGAGCATCTCGTGGAACGTGTCCACTGTTTTCCTGTAAACATCCCTGTGTAACACAAAGGGACGGAAAAGGTTGAGAGGCTCAGCCCTCTGGAATATGATGGGGAAACCCAGCTCTGCTGGTATCTTCCCATTGCCAACGAAGAAGTGGTGGAGTTTCTTTTCATGCAAGCATTTCTCCAGGAATTTGAGCATGTCTTGCAGACGGGCCTCCAGCTTCTCCGGAGCCCAGTCCTGACAGGGACGTGCCTGCAGCAGATGCAGCAGCACTGTCTTCAGGTGGTAGTTGGTGAGTCCACTTGGACCTGTGAGGCTGCACTGCTTCCCATGGAGGAAGGAGAGGATCTGAAGGCAGCTGACATGGCAGGCGTTGGCAGGCAGCATTTTGGAAACCAGCTGGATGAATCTCCTCTCATATACTGCGAAGGTGAGAAACCAGTGCGTGCTGGAGGGCAGGTCTCCTGCCAGGCCACTTCGAGGGAAATGAGAGATGAAGTAAACATCAGAGTTCTCATACTGCACCACAGGGGTGAGGTTGAAGGCAACTGATTTCCCTGACTTGAATTTTATCTTTAGGGCCCCTGGGGAGTCCAGGAGGCTGAAGGAAAGGTCGAATTCATACTTGTGGGAGATTCTATTCCAGGCTTTGGTGACTGCAATCTGGAACCACTTCATGACTTGGTCTGCATCCAAATACTGAGTATTTTTGAAGCACAGTAGGTCTTCCATCTCACTGCTGGGCCTGGTGGTATTGGCTTGGCTGTGGAGGAGGCACAACATATCTTCCCCCAGTTTAGTCTTGTCACAGATGCAGCCTGCCGCATCTTCACCTGCCCTGCAGACCTTGATAGTGCCATAACCTTGTTCATCTGGAGGAAAAGAATCACCAGAGCACCAGGTCTGGGACCGGAAACAGTACGGCTCTGGCGGGGCAAAAGGCACTATCAGATCGCAGACGAAAGGTTTGCGCACTCTCCAGTTCTCATACATGCTCCCCACTCCCATGCAGTCCTCCACTTCCATGTCAGCATCCCGATTGCAAACACTCCTCAAGGCCTCCAGCAAGTCATCTGCAAAACCCTCTACCATCTCCCGCATCCTGGCCATGTCTCCAGTGGTCCCCAGGATGCGTTTCTCATAAAAGCTGGCCAAGGTGGCCTTGTTGGGGAGGACCACTCCTTTAAATGCTTTCCCCAGGACAGCCATGTCATCTTCTTCGCCTCCTGCGTCCTGCCAATTCCCTTCTTGGAAATCCTGCCTCCAGACTTCGATCAGTAGGAATATGACCAAGGAAATAGCAGTCCACATATCCCATGGCACCTTTTCCTCTTTGCTTTCCTCCACTACCTTTGCAGCCTTTTCCAGAGCCTTTTGCCTGGCTTCCTGTCCTGCGATTTCCTGCTCCAAGCGCAGCTTCTCCAGTCGAAGGATCTCCTCTCGCTCCTTCATCTTCTGGATGATTTCTTCTGTGTTCTCAGGGATGGTGCCATTCTCTTTAGGGAAGAGGAGAGGGTGGTTGATGATAGCAGTAATCACCACTAGGCACACCCGGAAGATTCCCACAGGCATGGCAGTTCCTTCCCTGGAGGAGAAGAAGGAGAAAGAAAGGAAAAATGACCCATGATCTGGACTATATTTCATCAAGAAGAAAAATGAAAAAACTTCCTGCTTACATGAGGGGAAATAAAGGGGCTGGCAAGATTAGATCATTTCTCTGGATTGTGAGGGTGAAAGTTTCCTCCTCTCATCACCAAATCAACTTCTAAACCCAAAGATGTGAAGGTATTTGCTACAGTCATGCAATACTGGTGGGGTAGTGTGGGAAGGTACATTCTTCTTGCCTCCCTGAAAGTTCACTGGATAGCAAGGAAAAAAATGTATACCCCAGATATAGAAAACCAGAGCCGGTGAGGACCTCTGCTGTCCCTCAACATGAGACTAGCGTTGCAGTAAAGCGGACATGGCAACAGCATGAGCTGGGCTATCTTCATCCCCTGTGTGCAGCCTGTCAGGGGCCCACAGAGCTACCTCAGATCACAGCAATTTTCACTGCCAGTGGTTATGGGTGCCCAAGTGGGAACAAACCTGCATGGCTCTGTGCTTCCCAGCACGCCATACAGGCAATGCTCCTGCTGCGCTTCACCAGCGTCAGGATCACACCGCGGCACATCCTTCCCTGCCCCTATGATGCCTCATGACTGTGGACCCTGGAAAAAGCGCAGAGCCAGGGACATTGCTAAACTGGAAAGGGCTGCTTTTAACTTAATGGTTTTAAAAGCATCAGGCTGTTTATTTTTGGTCCTTACTCAGCTATTTATCCATGGAAGACATTAGTAAACACCACTGCTTTGATCTAAACAATCTCCTCTGCACCCCTTCACAGCTGTACACTGAGCCAGCTTGCCCCTATCTGAGGTGGCCTCGACCTTGTGAAATGTATCCAGGGTCCTGCTGCCACTCTGCTCACCTGCCTGCACATCCCACATGTTACCCCTTTCACTGCCTCTGGCCATGCCTGAGGAGACCATGGTGTTTCGGCATTGCTCTGTGTGGTTACTGGCTCTGGTACTTGGACTTCACACTTAAAGCTTTTCATGTCTTGGGGCTCACTATGAAAGAATTTAACTCCTAGTTTCCTGGGCACAGTCCCTTTACCAGTGCATTGACTTGGCCCTGATGCAGCCTCCCAGAGGTCTGGGTCAGAGTATGCTCAGGCTAAAGCCTGGGCTGCTTCCTCCCAGCTGGCATTTTTGCATCTTGAGGGCTGGCATCTCTATCAGTATCCCACATGCCTGCCCAGGGCAGGACAATCTGGGAATGTTACCTAATGCTCAGAAGTGACAAGCTCACAACATCTCCCCTCAGTTCTAACACAGGGCGATTAGAAAGATTAGAGAAATGCAGGAGATTTGCTTAAGTGCCATAGAAATCTTGCTGTCCCAGCATCCAGGAATGAGAGCATCCCTGGCAATCTCGTCTGTGCCTTAAGAGTGCATGCAAAGATATATCCATTCAAGTGGGCCTTGTTATCGTTAGTGCATTATAAGCTGCTGCCTTTTGATGGCAGGAACCTAGATTTCTGTTGGGTGCACTTACTGCATATGGAAAATGTGTCCTTCAGCAGGCAATTATCTTTGCTTATGGGAGGGCTGGGACTGGAATAGCAAGGGAAGGGAACAGGATTGAGATGTATTGTCCAAGCCGCAAGAAGGTTCACATGATGCTCAGGATAATGTTAACTGCCCCTCCCTGTGTAACATTTACTAACAACTGTGTTTTTTAGATCTCATATATATGCACAGATGTATGCACTTACACCAGCCTTGCTCTGGAGATCTTTGCCTGCCTTTATCACACTTTCTACACTTAAATGAACTCTATAAGTAAGTCACCAGATAATGAAATCAAGTTGAATTAATGCTCAAAGCTGGGTGTTCCAGTTATTCGCTGAGCTCCATGTCTGGCCACGGTTTAAAAATAAACTGGGTTCACCCTGTATTGCAAAGAGCTTTATCAGTTTGCTGGGCAGGGCAGGAAATGCTGGTGAGTTCCTTTTCTTGCAGACCACGTCTGCTTTCCAATGTTAAAAATAACATGGCCAGGTGCCAGGTGCCTCATCCTGGGGAGTAACATTGCTACTCTGCCCTGCTGGGCCGCTGTCCCTGCGGATGACACATTTGACTGTTGCAGTGATACTTCCTAAATGCGTAAGGCTGTAAGAAGCCAACTTCCTTTGGATCTTCTTGTACCCTTCAAGACCCTCCCATGCCCAGCTACCCACAGCCACACCACTTCCAGAGGTTACTGCCCCCAAGCTCTGCTAGCAGAACAGCACAGGCCAGCGATCCCCCCCGGTCCATCACTGGTTGGAGCAGCTGATTTAATTCTGGGTTGCACTGACAATCCTGATGGATTTTGCAGGACTAGGTTAGGAAGCTTGTACACAACCTCTTCCTACTGTAAAGCCCCCTGTACTGGCATCAATCTCTGGCAGAGAGTCAGAATAAAACTTGGAATGAGAACATCTCCAGGTAGGAAGATAAATAGGCAAGAGAAGTATCTGTTTTCAGCCTTAATACAGAGAAACTTATCCTTGTCAGAAGTGTCCTTTTATTATTGTAGCACGAGCAGCTTTCACCCCAGAAAATGCAGACTGCTTTAGCTATACCATGGTAGACAGAGTAGCTGAAGTCAAACAAGAAGCTCAATTAAGGCTTAAGGAGAATGATGCCCTGTGACCAATGTCAGCAGAGTCTGGCCATGACAGCTACAAGAATGGCACAGGCAGAGGGTTCCCACACCTCAGCAGATGCAGCTTT